TGCGAGAAGTGGGTCATAATAAGCGTGTATGCACCTGGAGAAGAGAGGAATGCAGAGGAGAGATAGAGATTTTGGGAGATGTTAAGTGAATGTATAGGAGCCTTTGAACCAAGTGAGAGAGTAATTGTGGTAGGGGACCTGAATGCTAAAGTAGGAGAAACTTTTAGAGAGGGTGTGGTAGGTAAGTTTGGGGTGCCAGGTGTAAATGATAATGGGAGCCCTTTGATTGAACTTTGTACAGAAAGGGGTTTAGTTATAGGTAATACATATTTTAAGAAAAAGAGGATAAATAAGTATACAAGATATGATGTAGGGCAAAATGACAGTAGTTTGCTGGATTATGTATTGGTAGATAAAAGACTGTTGAGTAGACTTCAGGATGTACATGTTTATAGAGGGGCCACAGATATATCAGATCACTTTCTAGTTGTAGCTACACTGAGAGTAAAAGGTAGATGGGATACAAGGAGAATAGAAGCATCAGGGAAGAGAGAGGTGAAGGTTTATAAACTAAAAGAGGAAGCAGTTAGGGTAAGATATAAACAGCTATTGGAGGATAGATGGGCTAATGAGAGCATAGGCAATGGGGTCGAAGAGGTATGGGGTAGGTTTAAAAATGTTGTGTTAGAGTGTTCAGCAGAAGTTTGTGGTTACAGGAAAGTGGGTGCAGGAGGGAAGAGGAGCGATTGGTGGAATGATGATGTAAAGAGAGTAGTAAGGGAGAAAAAGTTAGCACATGAGAAGTTTTTACAAAGTAGAAGTGATGCAAGGAGGGAAGAGTATATGGAGAAAAAGAGAGGTTAAGAGAGTGGTGAAGCAATGTAAAAAGAGAGCAAATGAGAGAGTGGGTGAGATGTTATCAACAAATTTTGTTGAAAATAAGAAAAAGTTTTGGAGTGAGATTAACAAGTTAAGAAAGCCTAGAGAACAAATGGATTTGTCAGTTAAAAATAGGAGAGGAGAGTTATTAAATGGAGAGTTAGAGGTATTGGGAAGATGGAGGGAATATTTTGAGGAATTGTTAAATGTTGATGAAGATAGGGAAGCTGTGATTTCATGTATAGGGCAAGGAGGAATAACATCTTGTAGGAGTGAGGAAGAGCCAGTTGTGAGTGTGGGGGAAGTTCGTGAGGCAGTAGGTAAAATGAAAGGGGGTAAGGCAGCCGGGATTGATGGGATAAAGATAGAAATGTTAAAAGCAGGTGGGGATATAGTTTTGGAGTGGTTGGTGCAATTATTTAATAAATGTATGGAAGAGGGTAAGGTACCTAGGGATTGGCAGAGAGCATGCATAGTTCCTTTGTATAAAGGCAAAGGGGATAAAAGAGAGTGCAAAAATTATAGGGGGATAAGTCTGTTGAGTATACCTGGTAAAGTGTATGGTAGAGTTATAATTGAAAGAATTAAGAGTAAGACGGAGAATAGGATAGCAGATGAACAAGGAGGCTTTAGGAAAGGTAGGGGGTGTGTGGACCAGGTGTTTACAGTGAAAACATATAATGTGAACAGTATTTAGATAAGGCTAAAGAGGTCTTTGTGGCATTTATGGATTTGGAAAAGGCATATGACAGGGTCTGTAGTGGAAGGAAGGCGGGGTAGGGGTCGGCCTAGGAAGGGTTGGAGGGAGGGGGTAAAGGAGGTTTTGTGTGCGAGGGGCTTGGACTTCCAGCAGGCTGCGTGAGCGTGTTTGATAGGAGTGAATGGAGACAAATGGTTTTTAATACTTGACGTGCTGTTGGAGTGTGAGCAAAGTAACATTTATGAAGGGATTCAGGGAAACCGGCAGGCCGGACTTGAGTCCTGGAGATGGGAAGTACAGTGCCTGCACTCTGAAGGAGGGGTGTTAATGTTGCAGTTTAAAAACTGTAGTGTAAAGCACCCTTCTGGCAAGACAGTGATGGAGTGAATGATGGTGAAAGTTTTTCTTTTTCGGGCCACCCTGCCTTGGTGGGAATCGGCCGGTGTGATAATAAAAATAAAAAATAAATATGACAGGGTGGTTAGGGGGGCAATGTGGCAGATGTTGCAAGTGTATGGTGTAGGAGGTAGGTTACTGAAAGCAGTGAAGAGTTTTTACGAGGATAGTGAGGCTCAAGTTAGAGTATGTAGGAAAGAGGGAAATTTTTTCCCAGTAAAAGTAGGCCTTAGACAAGGATGTGTGATGTCACCGTGGTTGTTTAATATATTTATAGATGGGGTTGTAAGAGAAGTAGATGCGAGGGTCTTGGCAAGAGGCGTGGAGTTAAAAGATAAAGAATCACACACAAAGTGGGAGTTGTCACAGCTGCTCTTTGCTGATGACACTGTGCTCTTGGGAGATTCTGAAGAGAAGTTGCAGAGATTGGTGGATGAATTTGGTAGGGTGTGCAAAAGAAGAAAATTAAAGGTGAATACAGGAAAGAGTAAGGTTATGAGGATAACAAAAAGATTAGGTGATGAAAGATTGGATATCAGATTGGAGGGAGAGAGTATGGAGGAGGTGAACGTATTCAGATATTTGGGAGTGGACGTGTCAGCGGATGGGTCTATGAAAGATGAGGTGAATCATAGAATTGATGAGGGGAAAAGGGTGAGTGGTGCACTTAGGAGTCTGTGGAGACAAAGAACTTTGTCCTTGGAGGCAAAGAGGGGAATGTATGAGAGTATAGTTTTACCAACGCTCTTATATGGGTGTGAAGCGTGGGTGATGAATGTTGCAGCGAGGAGAAGGCTGGAGGCAGTGGAGATGTCATGTCTGAGGGCAATGTGTGGTGTGAATATAATGCAGAGAATTCGTAGTTTGGAAGTTAGGAGGAGGTGCGGGATTACCAAAACTGTTGTCCAGAGGGCTGAGGAAGGGTTGTTGAGGTGGTTCGGACATGTAGAGAGAATGGAGCGAAACAGAATGACTTCAAGAGTGTATCAGTCTGTAGTGGAAGGAAGGCGGGGTAGGGGTCGGCCTAGGAAAGGTTGGAGGGAGGGGTAAAGGAGGTTTTGTGTGCGAGGGGCTTGGACTTCCAGCAGGCATGCGTGAGCGTGTTTGATAGGAGTGAATGGAGACAAATGGTTTTTAATACTTGACGTGCTGTTGGAGTGTGAGCAAAGTAACATTTATGAAGGGATTCAGGGAAACCGGCAGGCCGGACTTGAGTCCTGGAGATGGGAAGTGCAGTGCCTGCACTCTAAAGGAGGGGTGTTAATGTTGCAGTTTAAAAACTGTAGTGTAAAGCACCCTTCTGGCAAGACAGTGATGCAGTGAATGATGGTGAAAGTTTTTCTTTTTCGGGCCACCCTGCCTTGGTGGGAATCGGCCAGTGTGATAAAAAAAAAAAAAAAAAAAAAAAAAAAAAAAAAAAAAAGACCTACAAGATGTTTGGGAACAGAGATGCAAATGTCCAACTACATATAATAATTAACATTCTCCCATTGCAAAACAAACAGCACTACTTACATTGTACTACTCTCTAATCTATCCTTACCTCACCTATGCTATTAGTGCCTGGAGATGAACTACAGCAAATCACCTAAAGCCAATAATAACTCAACAGAATGAAGCTATTTGAATGATTACCCAACTTAGTGCCGTACAACACTCACCCACTCGGCAAAGGTTTAAAATTACTCAATATACATAACATTCACTCATAATACTGTGCATACTATATACAGAGAACAATAAATTCTAATATTAACCCTGTTCTGAAATTTTTTGACAGCTGCACCAAAACTTATGGGCATATACAAGGAATAAAACTCTCTGATAACCCTTACGCCCTTCTCTACCTGTGTAAAAACTCAATATGCATAAAAGGCCCTATAATTTGGAACATATTGCCTGAAGATTACAAAGGTTACCTATCTGCTAACCTCTTTAAAGCTACTGTTAAAAAGCATCATTTTACCTTAACATGATCCTGACAGCAATCTTGTTTTTATTCAATTCTGTCCCTGTTCTTATTCCAACTTTCCTCCAACTCCCATATATTATTAGTCACATACTATCTTACCATATTTTGTATTAATTCAAGTATCTAGTAATACCTGCCCTCCCAACTTGACAATATCTTATGGTGATTTATATTTTGAATTAACTGAATAAACATTAAGTAGAGTAGAGATTAAGTGTTGTTCATCCTAATGCAGTAATACTGCATATCCCTTCATTCAGACAAAGCTGTTGCAGTGATAATCTTGCATGGTACAGTAGTACTTCGAGTTTCAAACAGCTCCCAACTCGAACAATTATGTAAGTGTATTTTTGTAAGTGCTTTTGTAAGAGTATTTTTGGGGGTCTGAAACGGACTAATCTAATTTACATTATTCCTTATGGTAACAAATTTGTTCGGTATTGGCACCTGAACAGCTTTCTGGAACGAATTAAGTTTGTAACTCGAGGTACCACTGTATTATCTATTTCTTATGTCTATGTCTGCTGAACAATCCTCAGTGAATTTAACTAATGCCTCTCACCCTATAAGAACAAAATAAATATTTCTTTTTTATTCTTTTTATTTTACAAGCTAACTTGCATCTATTTTTGGATTAGACCTTTAATAAAAAAAATTAAAACTATGTAAACTTTAAGTACAGTATAGGCTAAATATTGCCTGAAATGCTATGCATCCAATGGGCCTTCAGATTATTATACATTTTATACAGCAATTCTGACAAAGATTTGTAATGCATCAATTTTTTTTATCAAGCTCAGCAACAGATGAAATAAAAATAACATCCTTCAAAAATGGACATTACCACACAAGTCCCCATAGTCTCAACACAAACTCTTCAATGACCCAGACACCATTATGCTCTGCTTCACATTTCATATAGAATGTCACAAAACTTTAAATACTCAATACTGTAGCAACATACAATGCTCAGCATCTCAGCTTTTGTTTTCAAAACGCTTCATTTCTTGTCACATTTAAAAGGTGATAGTACACACTGAGCTTTCTGATATGTTATTAGATTTGCTTAAAATTAACAAATGCGAATCATCTATGACCAGAAAAAACACTTACTTGGTTGTGTGTAAGTACTTGGCCTTCCATCTGTGCCAACTGCTGCTCAACTGGGTCTAGTCCTTCAACAACCTAAAAAAAATCATGAAAAAATAACAATGAAAACAAAATATTAATTATACATAAAAACAATAATTGAAAAAATAATAAAATATTTGTGTATTTGTGCATGGTATGAAAGTCAAGCAGAGAATTCAAGGTAGATATTATAATGTGATGTGGGCTCACCAAGGATATACTGTAATTCAGAGGGCAGAGGTAGTGTTTTTGAGATGAATTAATCATACAGAGAGGATGGAGAGGGACTAAGTTAACAATACATAAATAACCCGCACATAAAAGAGAGAAGCTTACGACGACGTTTCGGTCCGACTTGGACCATTGACAAAGTCACACTGGTCCAAGTCGGACCGAAATGTCGTCGTGAGCTTCTCTCTTTTATGTGCGGGTTACTTGTGTATCGTTCCAGTCACGGTATTGTGCCTTTTTGTTATTTAAGTTAACAAAGAGGGTTTATAAATCTTGGGTGGAAATCATATTATCTTAACCCTTTCAGGGTCGACAGGCCCTCTCCCAGACTTGTTCTCAGGATCGAAAAATTTCCAAAAAAAAAAAAAAAAAAAAAATTTCTTATGAAAAGATAGTTTTTTTTTTTTTCTTCAATTTTATAGGCTAAACAAAATTTTTTTACCATCAATACTTGCCGAGATATGGAGGCGTGAAGTTGACAGAAAATGACCGGCATATGGTAACATCGCTGACTGCCGGTCACCCGGTTTTAGTTTATTTAGTTTTTTGGTATTATTTTCTATAATTTTTTATTTTTTTTTTCCAAGTAACTTTTATGGCCTGTGAGACCAATATGAGCACTATTTTGTAAGTTTTTCTCTTTATTTACTATGCAATAACTGCACAAACACTGTTGTCATTATATTGTTTATAATTGTTGTTTACACACACAAACGATATGAAATGTTGTTTATTACTATTTTTCTTTATTTTATATTACGCATATATATCACAGAGAATGTTTCTAGAAGTTCTGCAGCCTGTGGAACTCTTTGAGACATGGTGTCATGCACAGTGGTGTTTTACACTCCTCACACTTAAAATGAGTGTCTCTGCATTCTTGTGGGCGTTTTTTTTTTTTTTGTATGTGCACAGATTTAACACCTCTTCTGAGCCTTTTTCTTGGAAGCAGTAGCAGGCAGTTTTATTAGGAAGTGATCACCATGCTTCAGACGAGAAGGTAGTTGTTGATAATTTAGTGGACGGTTTTCTATTGCAGGTGCTGTTCCTTGGTACTTGAATACTATTTGTCTGATGACAGACAAACAAAATTTGCCATATGGTGGTTTGTTTCTGGTCCTCGTTTTATACATATTATAAGCATTGAGCATGGAAATGTCCAGAAGATGGAAAAAAGAGTTTTATGTACCACTTATAGCTCTTGCGAAGACAATCAGCAAACCCAATCTGCATGTCACATTTGTCCACTGAGAGCATATTGAGGGTGTAATCAATCACAGCTGCAGGTTTTAGAATGGGTTCATTGCTCTCTCTATGCTGCCTGCCAGTGTTTGTCATTTTGTTACGGTGAACTGATGACAACAGCGTGACATCTCGTTTGTCATGCCACCGAAATGCCATGATGTCATTGGCAGCAAACGCCTGCACCTCACCTCTACAAGTGCCAGCGTCAAACCTGGGCATATGTTTACGATTTGCACGCACTGTGCCACACACATCTGTCATGTTCACTCGCAAAAAATCACTGAGTGAGGGGCCTGTGTACCAGTTATCAGTATATAATATAGGCCCCTAACCAAGGTATGGTTCTATCATTGTTCTAACCACATCACCAGAAATGCCCAATAACTTCCTGGTATTTTGCAATGTATAACTTCCAGTGTACACAATAATATCCAATACAAGACCACTGTAGCAATCACAAAGCACAAACAACTTTATACCAAGGCGTTTCCTCTTGCTTGGTATGTACTGCTTGAGAGAGTGTCTTCCTTTGAACAGAATCAAAGACTCATCAATTACAAGCTTCCTGAAGGGATAAAAATACATACTGAATTTCTCTTTCAGATACACAAACACATACCTAATCTTATATAACCTGTCGTTTCTGTCAGGCCTGGTTTTGTCCGAGAAGTGAAGCATACATAATAGTAGCACAAATCAATTCACTCACATTATATCACTGAAACCTGGGTTTGCAATCAGGTAGTGGGTTGACCAGTATGATTTCACAGTGTGCTTATACACATGTGGCATAAGCATTATTGTGGCAAAGAAAAGATACATCTCAGCAACAGTTGTCTCCTTCCACTGGTGCAGACGTGATTTTGGTGAAAGTATTGTGTTTGCCATGGTGTACTCGTAGTATCTGTTGCTTTCCCTGACAATAATTTCCATCAAGGGTTCATCAAAGAATAACTTGAAACATTTCAGTTCACTGGCATTGTTCCCCAGTGTACAAGACGGCCGTATTCCACTTTGGCTTTCATCAAACTGGAGGGGATTTGGAACAAAATTGGCAGCTTCCTGCCAATCCCAGGTGCAGTCTGCTGGTGGGTACTGGATACTGACAGGTGGTTGTAGTTGTGGAGGCTGGTGTGGTGGGTGGGTGGGGGATGGTGGCCTTTGTTGTAGATCAGCTGAGGCAGTGGCGTGGGTGGCAGCATGGCCCACTGCTGGTGCCTCATGGCCGGCACCACCACTACCACCACCATGCACATTTTCCATCCCAACTGCAACACTATCATCTTCATTTTCACTGTCTATTCCTGTTGTACAGCCACGGGATGTACTCCGAGATGTACTCCTTCCCCTTGGAATAGCATATGGCACACTACCAGAGAGCACATATTGTCGTATATACTGACGCTTCACTGGAGAATATTACATTTCACTATCACTACTGGATCTGTTTTCAAAAGCTTGTAGTTCATATTCACTATCACTATCATCATCAATGCTCACATCTGAGTCCCGGATTTGGGAAAATAGGAGTTTCCTCTCTGATTCTGGTACAACTGAATGTGAACAAGACGGCCCAGGAGCAGAGGTGGACGAAGGCTGAGGGTCGTCTGGGTTTTCCTCACTATTACCGGTATTATGGTCATTAGTTTAGGTCACAACCTCACCAAAACCTTGAAACTCATCTTCACTGGCACTTCCATCTGTATTAGAACTGTCACTAGGGAACAAAAGTGTCCCAATTCGCCGAGGAGTGAGGAGCTTCTTACCGAGAGGCATGGTGAACAAGGTCTACTAAAATGGCGTTCCCACAATGCACCACTGGGTCCCAGATTTTTTTCTACCGCGCACACCGACCACACACACCCATTCTCTCACATCTAGGCCTACCAGCCTTTTCCCGCGAGATTTGAAGGCGCTAGAATTTATGCGTACTAGTACATCAATAACCCTGGCGTGTAAGCCGTACTAGTACGTTGGAAACCCTAAAAGGGTTAAGGGAATGAGACTCAAATCCATGGTCTAGAAGGCTTGAAATAACCAGCGTGTTATGCTACCCAATTTGATGAGGATCATGGGGAATCTCCAATCAGAAACTACTGTTTACTGGTCCTCCTCTCATCCTTTGCAGCACTGCATGCTTATAAATCAAAAGCCTTTATAAATCATCTTGGATGCATGAAATGTAACATTATAATAAGGGCAACAATAAGCAAAACCTATCCACACAGTGCACACAACTGTCTTTAAAGGAAAGGCTCAGATGTTTTACCATGCACAACTTAACACAGTCATAATCTGATAAGGCTCTAAACAGAGAAATATTATCCAAATTAAAGATTGTTCTGCAATTTATGTCTCAGTCTTCAATAATAATCATAATAAATCAGTTAAAAAATACAGTGATTGAAGTAATTCAATATGTTATGCTTCATAAGTCAAACTTGCCAACTTGTATTATTCAGTATCCATTAGCTCATTAAACAAAGCAAAAATTCAATACTGAGGATTAAGTTACAGTATATGTTGATTTTTTCAAGGTTAGGGTGCTAACTTAGCATTCTAACCTTGAAAAAAAATACCATTTTTATTTACATGAATAATATCAACACTAAAGATAAAAATTGAGAACAGTGTTATTTTTGTAATAAAGTTGGTAGAATTACCGACAATATGTAAAGTAAAAGGACACAAGTGCAACTAATGTGACATTTATTGTGGCAACGTTTCGCTCTCCAGGAGCTTTATCAAGTAGTGTTATTTTTGATGCACTTCAACTTTTCAGATTGACTTGGCTTAATAGGCAAGACATATACATAATGAGATTAATATTATTATTATTCAAATAATTCAACATTTGACAGACCTGGCCTCCATTTACTGCAGCTCCCAGGTCTCCTTGAACCATTTCAGCTGGCACAAAACTGATGTTGTCACCTTCTTGCACTACAACATAAGTCTGACCAGATCCAGTAACTACACCTGTCATATACAAAATAATCAATGTTGAGTTTATGAGCACTTATATAACATACATCTTACTCATGAACATATTCTTGATCATTAAAAAGAAAGAAACATTGTAGAAGATATTAACCAACAAGAAATTAAATTAGCTACTAAGGAGCAATCAACAGATGTATATGATGCTTCACTCACCCTTTCTTGAAACAAAATTTAATTAAAAAAAATTACTGTATTTTGTTATACAATACACATGTACAGTGGATCCTTGGTTATCGGCCGTTCCGCTTATCGGCCAACTTGCTTATCGGCCAGTTTTTCGGCTTCAGGTTATCGACCGTATGGGACACGTCAACCCGCCAGCCTCTCGTACATTCATTAGTCAGTCTGGCTGTGTCTCTGGGAGAGTGAGGAAGCTTTCGCTCATTCATCCAAACATTTCGCTATAATCCATTGTTTTTTATGGTTATTGATTGAATGCAACTGTGAGATAAGCAACCACAGACCCAAAGAAAGTTCCTTTGGTAAAGAAAGTGAGAAACACAATTTAAGAAAAACTGTTGAAAAGTATAAGAGTGGTGTTGAGTATAACAGGCTAGCAAGGAGTGTAACATGGAGGGATGGTGTGTAGCAGGGAGGCAGGGAGTGTAGCTGGGAAACAGGAAGTGTGGAAGGAAGGCAGGAAGCGTAGCAGGCAGGCAGGGAGTGTAGCATGGAGTGTAGCATAGCAGGGAGTGTAGCAGGTATGCAGGGAGTGTGAGAGGGAGGCAGGGAGTGTGAGAGGGAGGCAGGGAGTGTGGAAGGAAGGCAGGGTGTGTAGCAGGCAGGCAGGGAGTGTAGCAGGTATGCTGGGAGTGTAGCATGGAGTGAGGGAGTGTAACAGGGAGGCAGGGAGTGTAGCAAGGAAACTGTGTGGAAGGGAGGCAGGGAGTGTAGCAAGGAAACTGTGTGGAAGGGAGGCAGGGAGTGTAGCAAGGAAACTGTGTGGAAGGGAGGCAGGGAGTGTAGCAAGGAAACTGTGTGGAAGGGAGACAGGAAGTGTAGCAGGTAGGGAGGGGAGTAACCCCAGAGAGGACTTTGATACCTGAAGTCCTTATGGAAGGGGATTCCCCTTCCAAACAATAATCAGTCTTCCCTCTCTCCTCCTCCCTGTCTTCCATAAGCCAACAAAAGTCTTCAATAAAGGTATGTAATAGTGATTTAAATGTTCATTTATTTTATTTAGTTCTCACTGTTTTGTGTATGTAAAACAATAATTAATCTTTAAAAAATGTATTTTTTGTTAACATTTTTGGGTGTCTGGAACAGATTAACTGTATTTACATGAATTCTTATGGGACATATTATTTCAGTTTTAGGCCATTTCACTTTTAGGCCGACCTTCTGGAAAGGATTACGGCCAATAACCGAGGGTCCACTGTATATTAAATGCACTACTGTTTTAGAAGGGTTCTTTTAACCTATTATAGTACACTTTTTTTTTTTTTACACAGGGTTTGACAAGGTTAGGTTAAGAATCCCTAGCTTTACTGACAAGCTATTTACAGGTTAAGGATTCCTAACTTTATTGACAAGCTAAGAGCTGTTACCTACATCAGCTCATTTGAAAGCATTTTTATTGTTATGAAACATACAAGTAGGGAACAGGATGAAGTTGGAGCCATCTGTGGGCCAGCATTTTCATCTGATCAACTGACTATCTCATTGACATCATATTGATGTATGAATGTGTTCCAGACTCAAGTCATCCTAGGAATAAATGATCTCAGATGAAGTGATGTTCTGGAGAAGGGTACAGCCAGAGTGAAGTTGCTGCTTTTTGCCCATCTTGTGGTATAGAAACTTGCTTCACGCTGTCCTCCAAGTGGATCCAGGTGTGGTACTTTTACAATATTGGCCTTGTACATAACAGTAAGGCCACCCACATCCCTCCTATGTTGAAGGCTCTGCTGAAATGACAGATCTATCCAGGATTGGTCCAGACGAGAGATGAGACGTCTTGCTCTGTTCTCTACTCTGTCAAACAGTCGCAGATGAGAAAGGGAGCAGGCGAACCAAGAAAGTGGAGCATACTCAAGGTGTGAGCGTACTTGTGCCTCGTACAAAATCTTGCATCCCCTGCTGTCAAGCAGATGCGAGATACGGCGAAATGCTGTAAGCTTCCTGTACTGTACATGTACTGTACATGTACTGTACTATCTATTTTTTTTTTTTAACGTCCGCTGTTTTCCACTGAAGCAGGGTGACCCAAAAAGAAAGAAAAACCCAAAAAGAAAGTAAAAACTTTCATCATGGGGAGAGTAGAAGATATATCTCATGTTTTCATAATTAACTATGAATTCGTACTGTATTTCTTCTTTTTATGAACTATAATCACAAAACATTCCATCAAGAGAAAGTAAAATAATTTCACATTGCTGCTGGAAACAATATTATGAGATAATGAAATGAATTAATAGGATGAACATGCAAGTCTGAGCACCCAGCTGATACACAAACATCTGAGGAGGGGATATCAAGAGGTTTTGGGCATTTAGAGGATGGAGCGCAATAGGAAGACTTGGAGGAGTATAAATTTGTGATGGAGGGAAGGAGGGGTAGAAATCTTCCAAGAAAGGTCAGTGGGAGGGGATAAAGGAAGTTTTAAATGCTAGAGGCTTGGATATCCAAAAGATTTGAGTGAACACATTAGGAGTGAAGGCAAGTGGTTTTTATGAGAAAGGTAACATTTATGAGGAAATTCAGGAAAGTGGGAAGTGCAGTACCAGCAATGAAGAAAGAGCAGAGATGTTGCAGCTCGGAGGATCATCCAAATGATGGTGAAAATGTTTCCTCTTTTCCAGGTCACCCAACCTCAGTGTGAGATAATCGACGTGTTTAAAAAATGAGACAATGGATAAAAAGGAATTCTCAACACCAAAGATAGGGAGAACAAGAAGCCATACCTATAAACTGAGGAAGAGAACATGCCAGGGGATTCAATAAAGTTTTTTCTTTATGAGTAATAAGTAGAACATAATAGGATACAAGAGGTGGTAGTAAGTGTTACAATCCTTGGAAATTAAAAAACACAAATGATCATAGATTAAACACCAAATAAAGAATACCAAAAGTTTAGCCCTACTCCTGTAGATACAAAGAGTTACGTAAATGCTGTACGTGTGTGTTTTAAGTGTAAGCAACATACATAAAGCATTCTAAAATCATTCAGAAAAAACACCAATTTAACCAAAAATGGTACCAGGTAAACAAAAGCAAAACCTAAAGATATGCAGCATCCTCCAAATAAGGCTAGTTAATACGAATTTAAATCTTGGGATAAGTAAACCATTGAAAATTTTGAGCTTACACTGCCCCTCAACCATTTGGAGGGTCTGTTCTGAACCATTGTCTGCAGTCTGAAGGATAGCCTGGCCAGATGACAATGCTTGTTGCAGTTCTTCTAGTGTAGTAGGTGAGGCCTCCTGCTGCTGGTGCTGTTGAGTGTGATGCCCTCCACCTACACTCTCCTCTGACTGATGTAGTTGTTGTACCTGTTCCTCTTGCACCTGCTGGGGCTGCTCTTGTATAACCTATCCAAAAATGTTTCAAGCTTGTAAAATAATTTTATTATTAACTAACAGGGTTTATTTATTTAAAATATTTAAACCCTTATTTTAATCATTCTGCATATAATACTAATTCTTTGGTAATGGTAACCAATACAAAGATTTTGTTTTACTTACTCTGAATATCTTTGTTTATATCATGAATGAAAACTCTCTATTAATCTTAATTGCACATGTACACTCATTACATTTTCAATAAGATGCACTCACACACACCCCCACTTGTACTCCTAAGTCCAAGGGTCCTTAGTATGAAGCTGCAGATTTCACAAAGAAAAGAGGCAAGAGAAAATGTGGATGGAAATGGGCCTGCAAGAACAATCATGCCTCCCCCATACAACCCACTAGCAGCAGATCCATAACACTGACCCTAATTAATGTAGCAAAATGCACATACTTTAATAACCCACATTTGTATGACAACTCAATCTCTATGCAGAAAAAACCTACTGCATTAGATATACTCCCGAAGATCCACTAGAATATACACTACACTGCTTGCCCTATATTAAACACCTATCTGTAACTATTTTGCATGTAGCAAACAGTGACATCTAAGTCATACAGTTGCAGGAGTTGACGTAAGTTTTTCAATTAACCCGTAAAAAGTCCAAACGTATATACATGTTCTTACCAGTAGTGCTCTGAATGTAGATCAACATTTTATTTTTCATTCCATCAAAATTGGCGCAATAGGCCTGAGTTGCCAAGACACGAGAGAGTGGGTCTGTGCACTCAGTGCACAGTATGAAAAAAATCAGGGAATACTGGGTACCACATGGTAGCACCGTTACATTCAGGTCCATCTTGGATCAACACCATGGCAAACCCTCGTGATTCACTCACGCCTTATCTTATTAACACTCTCTTATTCAAGGAAAGTGATATAGAACGTGAGTTCAGTGGATCTGAGACCGATGTGGCCACTAATAATCAAGGAATTAGTGAAAATATAGACAATAATCCAGATGACCCTAAGCCAATTACCTCTTGGGTGGCCAGTGTGGCCACACCAGACCCTGAGCCAAGCACCTCTGGGGTAGCCAATGTGGCCACACCAGACCTTAGGCCTAGCACTTCCGGGGTGGTCCGTGTGACCACAGAAGATCCTGGGCCAAGCACCTCTGGAGTGGCGAGTGTTACCCATAGGCAACTACACAAAAGGAAACTATCATTTTTCCGGTGTTTTAGTGATAGTGAAAGTGATGTAAGTGACGATGAAATTGATTTTATGCACAAGGATTCGTCTAGTGATAGTGATATTCATTATTCACCAGTGAAGCGTACATTTAGGCGTCGTTGCCTACGTTCAAGCGGTGTGCCATATGCAGTCCCCAGAGGTCATGGGAGGTCACAATCCAAAACCCCGGCCACTGATACTGATCATGAAGGAGAATATGCAGGGATGGAGGAAGGAGGAGGTGGGTGGCACAGTGCCTAGAGCACATGGAGTGGTGGGTGGACAGACAAAGGACCAGCCAGCACCCCCTCCTGCTCCACCACGCCCCATGCAACAGGTCCACCCTGCACCATGTGACTGTCAGTGGAACTGGACACAAAGTATATTCATGCCACAGCCTTCTGATTTTGATAAAAGTGGAAGTGGCATCCTGCCAGACTGTCCCATAACGAACGAGTCTACAGAGTTAGACTTTTTCCATTTATACTTTGACGAGCCTATATTAAACTTGATAGTGACCCAGATGAACAATTATTACCTCTATATCATGGACAACACAGAGGTTGCAGAATTGTCAAGCCTGTGCAGGTGGAAAGATACAACAGTAGCTGAAATGTATTTATTCCTTGCCACTGTCATGCTTATGCCACATACCTATGAGAACAATATACGTAACTATGTCTTCCGTGACCTCCTTCCCTGCAACAGATTCACTCTGTTGCTACGAATGTTGCACTTCTCAGACAGGAATATGCCCAACAGAAACGACCTTCTATACAAAATCTGGGAAGTGTTTATGTATATGAAGCAGAAATTCAGTGCATACTTTTATCCCTTCAAGAACATTGTTGTTGACAAGTCCTTGATTCTGTTCAAGGGACACCTGTCATTCAAGCAATATATACAAAGCAAACAATCACTTTGGTATAAAACTTTTCGTTATTTGTGACTGTGAGAGTGGTTTCGAGTTGGAAGTCATTGTCGACACTGGGAGAAACACACTCGATGATGACAGACGGATGTTGGGCATTTCTGGTAATGTCGTTCGCAAGATGATGGAACCATACCTTGGCAAGGGTCATACATTGTACACAGACAACTGGTATACAAGCCCTATGCTCGCTGATTTCCTACGTGTGAACAATACTGATATATGTGGAATGGTGAGAAGGAATAGAAAACATATGCCAAGGTTCAGTGGAGGCAGTGCTGAAGGTGCAGTGCAAGTATTTCATGCCAATGACATCATGGCACTGACATGGCATGACAAACGGGACGTGAAACTGCTGTCAACCATCCACAGAAACGAGATGGTACAAACAGATAAAGTGAACCGGGATACCAATGAACGTATTGACAAGCCAGCTGCTATCAACTATACGAACAATATGTGACTAGCTGACAAGTGTCAGCTATTGTATGATGATAGGGTTCATTGACTGTGTGCGTAGGAGTCGCCAGTGGTATATAAAAGTGTTTTTCCACTTTGTACACACTACGGTGCTCAATGCATTCAATGTGTACAAAATAAAGGCTGGAAAACGACAACGTTTTGCAGATTTCTCCCTAAATGTCGTAAAACAGACAGGAAAAAAGTATGGTACCACACCTGTACCTGCCCCTCAACAGCGACTTATCCCCCAACCACAGCCAGTAGGGTAAGTGCTAGACCGAAACATTCCTAACTGTCATTACCTGGTACCAATACCTGGTAATACTTCCACAAGGAAGTATTACCAGAAAAGATGCGGTGTGCTACCATCACAAAATGACCCCAACATCAGAAGGACACATGATTCATATGTCACCAGTGTGGGGTGGCACTCTATATCATACAATAGTGGACTTCCAGAAACCTAAGTGGGACATGTAAATACAGTGGACCCCCGCATAACGATTACCTCCGAATGTGACCAATTATGTAAGTGTATTTATGTAAGTGCGTTTGTACGTGTATGTTTGGGGGTCTGAAATGGACTAATCTACTTCACAATATTTCTTATGGGAACAAATTCGGTCAGTACTGGCACCTGAACATACGTCTGGAGTGAAAAAATATCGTTAACCGGGGGTCCACTGTACTTGTATATAGTTGAAGATAATAGAATGTGATTCAGCCAGGTGTGCAATATCACCTATCAGTGTGTACATGTGTGTTTGTGGCAGTATGATAATAATTTCGTATATAATGTTGGAGTATAAACAACAGTTGCTGTCAGGTGATTGCCAAGTGCCAACTTCACGCCCTCCTATTTCAGTAAGTACTAACCCTAAATTTTTTATCGTATAACACTTAGAAAAATGTGATCTTTATTTTTAAACTTTTTTTTTTTTTTTTTCAAAATATTCAGAGCACTGGGCGAGAGAATGTACAGTGGTCCCTCAATAATCGTCCGGCCTGAAAGTCGTCAATTTCGGAAATAGTCCTGTTTTTTCGTCAAAATATTGGCTCGCAAATGGTCTGGTAACTCGCTAATAGTCCTTCGTCCTGGATGCGTACTCACGCTCTGAGCCGCCTCGGCCTTTCCTTCCCAGCCAGTGTGCCATTGTTTACCAGTGAGTGACGGTAACCTCACATGCTCCTACGAAATATTTCATAATATTCCATTGATTTTAGTGCTTGCAAGTACTAAATAAGCTACCATGGCTCCAAATAAAGCTAGTGCCACCCCTTTGGTAAAGAATGTGAGAAACACATAATTTATGAAAAAAATTGTAGAAAAATACAAAGATGGTGGTGCTAGAGTGGAAGCAGTTGTGATAGTGGTTGATGAACATAAGAACATAAGAAAGGAGGATCACTGCAGCAGGCCTGTTGGCCCATGCTCGGCAGGTCCTTTACAATTCATCCCACTAACGATACATTTTCCCAACCCAGTCCTCAATGCTACCCAAGAAATAAGCTTTGATAACTCTATCCACTCATTTGCAAGTCCCAAATGAGTGGATAGAGTTATCCGAGCTTATTTCTTGGGTAGCATTGAGGACTGGGTTGGGAAAATATTTCGTTAGTGGGATGAATTGTAAAGGACCTGCCGAGCATGGGCCAACAGGCCTGCTGCAGTGATCCTCCTTTCTTATGTTCTTATGTTCATCAACCACTATCACAACTGCTTCCACTCTACCACCACCATCTTTGTATTTTTCTACAAAATTTTTCATAAATTATATGTTTCTCACATTCTTTAGCAAAGGGCTGGCAGTAGAAGCTTTCTTTCGTGGTAGTGATGGTGGTAACAGTTGTAATAGTGGTAGAAGGTCGTAGTGATGGTGGTAGAGGGTTCCTTCTTTAGTGATTCAGCAATTCTACCAACTCCTCCAATGTTGTTGGAGTTATAAAGGGCTACAAAAACCACCGCCGCCTCACCACCATTATGGACGGTTTACACTCAGTGGCCCTTATATACCCAACAACAACACAACACCTCTCGTGACATACGTAATGACTTATTTTATTCATTCTAGAGTATATTCCATGTATCTATCTTATAAATATTGTTTATTATGTCATATTAGTTGAATTGTAATAGATAAATAAGCCATAGAGTTGATATTAGTGTCATATTCTCCAACAATAAATTTGTCATCCCTCCCTCACACAAACAAATAGCCAATAAGAACATAACAATGGAAGAACACTGCAGGTCTACTGGCCCATACAAGGCAGGTCCTTATCAAAATGACCTCCACCCAAAGCTACCCAAGAATTTACTCCCGTACCCAATGACACAAATCAAACTCAGCTCCTCCAACTTGTATATTTGTCCAATCTCTTCTTGAAGCTACCCAAGGTCCTAGCCTCGATCACCCTACTGGTAAGTGTGATGTTAAATAAGAACTTAAGAAAGTAGGAACACTGGAACAGGCCCGCTGGCCCATACTAGGCCAGTCCTTCACAAATCCAACCCACTAACAGAACAAATGCTACCCAAGCAATAAACTCAGGTGCAAGTCCGACTCAAATCCAACCCCTTTCACTCGTGTATTTTTTTTTTTTTTTCAACAAGTCGGCCGTCTCCCACCGAGGCAGGGTGACCCAAAAAAGAAAGAAAATCCCCAAAAAGAAAATACTTTCATCATCATTCAACACTTTCACCACACTCGCACATTATCACTGTTTTTGCAGAGGTGCTCAGAATACAACAGTCTAGAAGCATACACATATAAAGATACACAACATATCCCTCCAAACTGCCAATATCCCAAACCCCTCCTTTAAAGTGCAGGCATTGTACTTCCCATTTCCAGGACTCAAGTCCGACTATATGAAAATAACCGGTTTCCCTGAATCCCTTCACTAAATATTACCCTGCTCACACTCCAACAGATCGTCAGGTCCCAAGTACCATTCGTCTCCATTCACTCCTATCTAACACGCTCACGCACGCCTGCTGGAAGTATTTATCCAACCTAAATTTGAAACTACCCATGCCATAGCTTTTAGAACATTGGAAAGGAGGAACACTGCAATAAGCCTGTTGGCCCATACTAGGCCGGTCCTTCACAAATCCAACCCACTAACAGAACAAATGCTACCCAAGCAATAAGCTCAGGTGCAAGTCCGACTCAAATCCAACCCCTCTCACTCGTGTATTTATCCAACCTAACTTTGAAACTACCCAATGTTTTAGCTTCGATCACCCTACTAGGCAGACAGTTCCACTCATCAACTACCCCTATTACCAATGTTCATTTATACATTTTATTAGTGCCCTAGAGTCCTTATGGAGGGGGATTCCCCTTCCAAATAACCTCTCTTCCCTCTCTCCTCCTCCCCGTCTTCCATTTATCAACAACAGCCTTCAATAAAGGTAACTGTCATGTTGAATGTTCATTCTTTTGTGCATGTAAATCTATCTTTTAGGTAAAAAAAAAAATTGTTGTTGATACTTCTGGGTGTCTGGAACGAATTAATTGGATTTACATTATTTCTTATGGGGAAAATTGATTCGAAAATCGTCCATTTCGATAATAGTCCCACTTCCAGGAACGGATTATTGACGATTATTAAGGGACCACTGTATATACACGTTTGGACAGTTTACAGGTTAAATGTATCCTCATTTTGTCCCATTATTCATACCCAAATTTCTTCCTTTGCTATAATTCTTATGAGTGTCAATATTAATCACAAGTCTTTTTTAGAAATGTGATGCAAGATTTATCATAAAAGAATGATTAGGCAAATTGGGTTAACATCAGAACATAAAAGCATAATATTTTGGACGGTCAAACAAAGCAAAGAATCGAGAAAAGCCTATAAACAAAAGGCACAATTTGTATTATGCTCCAACAAACAGCTGATGGATGATGACAGTGGCAGCTACAGTCACCACTATGAAAATGCATTAAATAGAAAGTTTTATTAAATATAAAATAAAAAAAAAAAATCATCTTCAATTCTCACAGTCCTTTGACAGCATAAAATTATAATTTAGGAAGATAGTTGATAATGAATGTGTTCTGTACTCTCAGCCTCCTCCCAGAGCACTGATAACATTCACAGACACATTAATAATAGCAGAAATATATCTAAATATTAGGACACAGGCCATTATATACACCTGGAAATGCTGAAATACAAACAATAGTAAATCTTCAGTCTGAAAGTTACCAATACTTTATTTCATATTAAAGGTAAAAATACAAGTAAACTGCTTCTTAATGATTTAGGGCAGATTAGATTATTCTGTGCCCAAACAGATTTTTTATGCAAAGATGTGCAGTACTGTATATTGCTGGATTATCAAGAGGATAGGTACACAACTGATTTATGCTGTTAAAAATAAGTGGTTTCCTATGGAGTTTTAAAGAGAGGAAATGAACACTTCTCGCCTGCCACTTGACTGCTTATTGCCATATGCTGCTAAGCAAATTTATATTTTATTTTTATATAAAATTTAGATTTTTGGCATGCTAATTTAATATTTATCAAGTTACATCTGTGGATAGCTGTTTAGCCAGACTTTAACGACTTAAGAGATTTGTAAATAACTTAAGGGACAAATATATTTTCCTTAAAACTGTTTTGCCCCTAGGAGTTTATCAATTCCTGATGACCAAACCAAATTTTCAATTATTGAAGATCAGATTACAAACTTTCAACATCCTAATGCACATAAAAATTGTCAGAAACTGTTTTGCAAGTTAGCCTTTTTTCTTTAAATAATCAAATTTTGTCTTATGTTATAAACTTCAGATAGCACCAATATACATAGCACACGTGTTTCCAGGAATGTAAGTGCAGTGACAGAAGTTTTGACTGTATTAAGATTATGTTCACCTGTTGCACTGTTTGTTGTGGTTGTGTCTGCTGCACAGCTTGCTGATGTACAGTTTGTTGCTGGTGTGGCTGTTGCTGTGCTACCTGACCAGCTCCAATACTTGTGACTTTGTTAATATTGCCTTGCTGATCTACTGTACCTGAAAGAAAATGTTTGAAAACAACTTAATTTAAATTATCAATCTACTTTTTAACACAGATTATGAATACTTTGGAAAGCAAAATTTTTAATAAAATAGTTTTCAGGCAATTTCTAAACTGATATGCAACAGATGGCTACTCGAAGAGCTGAACTTAATAAGACTTGCCACAAAAATGTAGAACAATCATCATTACCATTCAGAACAGCAATTAAGATAATAAAAAAGGGACATGAGAATGAGAAGATCTGAGGAAATTATAGCTATGAAAACCTGGAAACATAATGGGGAAACATTCCTTGGAAGAGCTAGATCCTTCCAAGTAACAGAGAGAATAAGAGTATTTCCCAGGGACTCCTATGCTGTCAGAAGAAAAGCAATAATGTAACCCCAATGAATATGGAGGTTTCATTTGTGGAGTACTCACACTGTTGGGTAAAAATGGGTCAAGAAATGAGGGGTTTGTGTGTGCAGCTAAAGTTTTAGTTATATGCTAATTTTCTCATTTTTTTATCATAATCTGTAAACATGTTTATTAATAGTAGTAAGAGTGACCTTCAGGAATCTGAAAATAAGCCATTTCAGAACAAGCATACTTTGACATGCCCATCAGGTTAACAATATAGTACAATAGCATTTTTATTATTTTAACTTTTGCATCACTTTTTTATAGGCTTAGAAAACTGATAAGGTAGACAGGTATAGGCTGCTCAAGAGGTGAGAAACAGGAACTCGGAGACACAGATGACCCACAGGAAGTATTTCTTCAGTCTCAGAGTGGTCAGAAATTTGAATGATCACTGTGAGGAAACTGTGGAAGTAGGTTCCATACATAGCTTGAAGAGCAAGTATGACAGGGCCCAAGAAGTTAGGAAAGAACAATTCTGGCAAATGGCAAGCTGAGAGGCAGGACCACAGCTGAGACTCAACCCCTGCAACCACATATAAGAGGGTACACAACACCAACCTTAGTGCAGATCACCAGATTATTGTTGTATTAAAAAATCATTAAAAAGAAGAAAGCAAAAAACTTAATTGCTCTCACATAAGAGCTTCCTTGAGTGACCAGGCCAACCAGTGTACTGTAAATACAAATACTACAGGTAATACAACAATGATTTTCTGGCAATGGGTGGTCCGGCACCTCTTAGTCCAGAGAAAATTACATGGGTGGCTACAGATGAAGTGTAGTGCATGCTAATTTTCTTTTTTTACAGTGCAGTTGCTGATGGCAACCCCCATGATTTTATGCAATTCTAAATGTATTTTGCTAACAACTAACCCTAGCTATGGGTAGGGTTAATAACTATGGCTAATGACAAGTTAACCAAGCCATCAGGTGAATTAATCCAAGGGATACAACAACATTCTTTCATGATGAAACAAGAGATTATGGAATTTTATTGGGAACATTAAAACACCTGTAACAACTATGCTTGGATGAAATGTCAAAAAAAGATAGCCAAGAACAATGTGTTATAACAGTAGACCTACATCTGAAAATCCCGTGGCTTCAAGTTCATGTACCCCAGATGTCCTCCCCTGCAACATCACAAAATCCAGTCAACTATGAAAGACAGTAATCCTGATAACCATCAACTTCCAGACCTTTGTGATTAGCTCTATAGCTCAAGTTTCATTTACACTAATGTTTATCGAAGCTTTTAGTAGTCCAGGGTGCTTTAGAGACATGGGAGCTGAATAGTTAGTGGGTTCAGAGATGTATTGCTAAATTAAGTGACCCCATGCTTGTCAGGCAAAATCAATATTCTGGAAAGGCTTAGGAAACAAGGGTGCCAGAAAACTGGTAATGTATCTGTAGCACAAAAAAATCTTACATACCAATAATATTTGGCATCACTTTGCGAAACTGTGGTCCAGGCTTTTTAGCAGCATTGGATGAACTTTTATCTAGCAGAAATGCATACTTTTTAGTTTCTGCCTTAGTTTCACCTGTGGCAGGTGCTTGTTGAACCATCTTCCCAGGAGGTTGTACAGCAGATTTGGGTGGCTGCTGAACTGTTGTGCTGTACTGTGCATTAGCTGTTAAACAAAATAAATATCAATATTGTAAATGCTAAAAATCAAAGCTTATACTATTCAATAGAAAAATGTAAGTGAAAACCTTGGAATATGGGTCTTTGTTTCATTAACAGCTGACAATGTGTCATAATACTGTACTTGTCCTCTACACACGAATTTATAACAGCCATTTCCCACCAAAGCAGGGTAACAAAGAACAAAACATTCACCATCGCTCAATTCCTAACAGTTAAATGACTCGATGAGCCATCACATCCTCACTCATACTCTGGAGATAAATTGATTTAAAATAATTTTTAATACATGAAAAGAGAAAGAAATCATTTTTTTTATTAACACACTGGCCATTTACCACCAAGGTAGGGTGGCCCAAAACAGAAAAACTTTAAAATCATTCACTCCATCACTATCTTGCCTGAGGTGTGCTTATACTAGTTACAAAACTGCAACATTAAAACCCCCTCTCCAGGACTCAAGTCTGGCCTGCTAGTTTCCCTGAATCCCTTTATAAATACAGTGGACCCCCGCTTAACGATCACCTCCAAATGCGACCAATTATGTAAGTGTATTTATGTAAGTGCGTTTGTACGTGTATGTTTGGGGGTCTGAAATGGACTAATCTACTTCACAATATTCCTTATGGGAAAAAATTTGGTCAGTACTGGCACCTGAACATACTACTGGAATTAAAAAAGTTCGTTAACCGGGGTCCACTGTATAAGTCTTCTTTCGTCTTTCAACACACCGGCCATATCCCACTGAGGTGGGGTGGCCCAAAAGGAAAAATGAAAGTTTCTCCTTTTACATTTAGTAATATATACAAGAGTAAGGGTTACTAGCCCCTTGCTCCTGGCATTTTAGTCGCCTCTTATGACACACATGGCTTATGGAGGAAGGATTCTGTTCCACTTCCCCATGCAGATAAGTGGAAATAAACAAGAAGAACCAGCAAGAAAAATAGAAGAAAACCCAGAAGGGTGTATATATACGCTTGTACATGCATGTGTAGTGTGACCTATATGCAAGTAGAAGTAGCAAGTACCTGAAATCTTGCACGTTTATAAGTACAGTGAAACCTTGACTTACGAGTGTCCCAACAAACGAGTTTTTCGAGATACGAGCCGTCGCTTGGTCAGTTTTTTCCTCAGTTACGAGTGAGCTTCCCCCTAAACAGACAAACTGCACACCTTGCTTGTTTATCTATGATTCTATGCTTTAATTCCATGGACATCATCCTCTTTCTTCTCAGCACTGTCCTTTGCACTTACTTTCTTACGACCCATGGTTAGAAAAAAAAAATTGGCAAAATAACTGCACAAAATGCAAGCAAAACACGAGAAAAATGCTTCCATAGTGAGATAAACAGTGCACTGAGTTGGCAGCATTCCGAAGCCCCTCATTATTATTATATATTCTTATTATTATATTATAATAATTATTATTATTAATTTAGGGAATTGAAGCTCGCTTGTTATTATTATAATAACTATTACAGTGGACCCCCGGTTTTCATAATTAATCCTTCCCAGAGAGAGTGACTAAACCTGAACCTGATGAATTCAGAATTAATTTTCCCCATTAGATATAATGGAAATCCAATTACAGTGGACCCCCAGTTAACGATATTTTTTCACTCCAGAAGTATGTTCAGGTGCCAGTACTGACCGAATTTGTTCCCATAAGGAATATTGTGAAGTAGATTAGTCCATTTCAGACCCCCAAATATACACGTGCAAACGCACTTACATAAATACACTTACATAATTGGTTGCATTCGGAGGTGATCGTTATGCGGGGGTCCACTGTAGTCAGTTTCAGACACCCAAAAGAATTAACAAAAAATGTTTTCTACATGAAATATACATTTACCTACACAGAAAACAAGGATGAGACGAGAATAAAACAATAGTAACATCACACTTACCTTTATTGAAGACATGGTGATGTATGGATGATGGGAGGAGGGGTGAGGATGGAGGAGTTTATAGTTGTTTGGAAGTGATATCCCCTTCCATAAAGACTTCAGGTATCAAGTCCTTATCCTGGGTTACTTCCCATTTTTGTTTTTTAATGCCACTAGGACCAGCTTGAGAGTCACTGGACCCTTGTCACTCAAAAAAAGTGTTCCGGAGAGGTCTGTTTCTGGCATATGTTAGGAATTGCGTTGGGAGACAGGACAAGATAGTTCTTCAATATGACACTAATATCAGCTCTATGGCTCATTTATCTAACAGAATTCATCTAATATGACATAATAAACAATATTAATAACATAGAAACATGATATATACTCTAGAATGAATAAAATATTGCATTAAGAATGTCACGAGTGGTGGTATGTTGTTTGTTGCTGGGTGTATAAGGGCCACTGAAAGATAATCCTTGCATAGTGGTGAAGGCGGTAGAAAGCAGCAGCAGAGGTGGCGGTGTTAGTCAGTAGCCCTATATACATGTACCTCCAACAACAAAGGAGGAATCAGTTTCATGCTGTCCTTTTTCTATCGCTCAATCGCTTAACTTACTTGCTACACTGTTAATGCTACACTTTATTGCTGGCTGGCGCTATAGCCTTTATCGACTCCTGCTGCTTTAGTATTGTACATATTGCAGAATTACTGAAAATGGCACATTCTCCCCTCTCTCTCAGCCCTTTACCAAAGGGCTGGCTGGACTAGGAACTTTCTTTGGGCCCACAGTGGCTTATTTAGCAGTTGCAAGCACTAAAACGAATGGAATATAAAATATATCGTATGAACGTATGGGATCATCCTCACCGGCTGATAAACAATGGCACACTGGCTGTAAATGGTGTGTCAGACCGCTTGGGCGGCGCGGACACGTTTGGGACTAAAGACTAATATCAAGTTCAATGATGATCACCAAGCCAATATTTTGACAAAAAAACATTACTTATTCCAAATATTACGAATTCGATGATGACGTAATCCGGGGGTCCACTGTGGACCAAGATTTATACACCCTCTGCCATCCTATCCCTCTCCATCCTCTTTAATTGCCCAAGCCACCTCAACAACCCCTCCTCAGCCCTTTGAATTATACATGGCAACCCCACAAAGTCTTAATTTCTACACTGAATTTTCTGTATACGCATTTGCACCACACATTGCTCTCAAACATGACGTCTCCAGTGTTTTTCTTTTTTTCAGCGCTTCTAGCTAACTCCTTCCTGCAACATTCAAAACCCACACCTCACACCCATAAAAGTGCTGGTACCACTATATTGATATACAATATTCCCTCTTTTTTTGGCCTACAGAGAAAAAAAATTTCTCTCCACAGATGCCTCAAGATACCAACTACCTCACTTTTCACAGACCAGTCTACTGACAAGTCCACTCCCACATATTTAACCCTTTCACTGTTGGTGCCGTAGCACTACGGCTGGCAAGCCAGTGTTGGTGCATTAGTATTATGCCAAAATTCTAGCGGCTTCAAATCTAGCGGGAGAAAGCTGGTACACCTACATATGAGAGAATGGGTCTGCGTGGTCAGTGTGCACATTATAAAAAAAATACTGAACCACACAGTGCATGATGAGAAAAAAAAAACTTAGACCGTACTTTTGGTTTAAAACACCAACATTGAGGTACATTTTCATATGGTATTTATGATTGTATTCTCATTTTCTTGGCCTCATTTGATAGAATAAAAGATACATTACAGAAATAGAGATGATTTTGATTGGTTTCAGGATGAAAAGTACCTTGAAACTGAGCTCGAAATATTGGAAATTTTCGATTTTTGCCGATGTTCAAGAGTAAACAAATGACGTCACCGTCCAATATCTGTCCAACTGGCCAGTCTAATATGCAGTCACAAATGGGTTGACATTATTTATACAATTATTACAATAATGCAGTAGTCTGCATGACAGTATGTCTTTATTTTTTGTGTGAATAAAAATTCAAAATGGAAAGCAAGAGTAATATAAGAGGGGCCAGGAGATGTGACTAATGAACAGCGAAAATTTTATTTTAGGAATGTCTGCACTGTTTATTCTCGACCCTATTTTGAAATTGGCGTATTTTGAAATTTGTGTGAAACTGGCCAAATTGCCAATATCTGACCACTTTATTGGAAAGTTGAAATCAGTAAATGGGAAGTTTCTTGTACTCAGTCAATAGAACAAATGAAGTTCTAGCGAAATAGCTACGAGTTTGGTCTAGTGGAACAATGGAATTGGCAGAAAATAGGGCTCAAAGTGGGTGAAATCGCCAATGCACATATATTGCCGAGACCACTAACTTCGCGAGAGCATAATTCCGCAAGTTTTCCATCAAATTTTGTACTTTTGGAGTCATTACCATCAGGAAAAGATTCTCTATCATTTCATAAGAAAAAACTTTTTTTTTTTAAATTCTTCGACACTAAGAGCAAGTTTGTGAGCAGGGGTCGGAACAGTGAAAGGGATAAATACTATAGAGGGGTGGTTTGGTCATTCAGAGAGGATGGAACAAAACAGGATGACTTGGGGGTTGTGTAAATCTGTAGCTGAGGGGAGGAGGGGTAGGGGTCATCCTAGGAAAAGATTGAGGGAGGGGATAAAAGAGGTTTTGTGTGCAAGGGGCTTGAACATGCAGCAGGCATGTGTGAGCATATTAGATAGGAGTGAATGGAGACAAAAGGTTTTTGAGACCTGACAAGTTGTCGGAGTGTGAGCAGGGTAATATTCTGTGAAGGAATTCAGGGAAACCAGTTAGCCGGACTTGAGTCCTGGAGGTGGGAAGTACAATGCCTGCACTTTAAAGGAGGGGTTTGGGATATTGGCTGTTTGGAGTGATATCTAAACTGTTGTACCTGACAGTGATTGTGTGAACACTGGTGAGTGTTGAATTGTGGTGAAAGTGTTTCATTCTTTTTTGGGTCACCCTGCCTTGGTAGGAGAAAGCCATAGCGTTAAAAAAATAATCCACTTCCTCCATATGCATTCCTTACAATATGATATTCAATCACTGTTACTTACATTTAGGGGGATATTTTAAACCAGCAGGGTTCTCACACTGCCTAGGAAATGGCAGGCAATCAGATTCAATCCAAAGAGAGGACAAGTTAATTAAATTCCCAAAGGATGGGAGGCAATTAGTTCAATATAAGGGAAGGAAAAGTTCAATTCCTTGGATCAAAAGCCCCTTACCTACCTCAACAAACCCCCCTTGAAAGCTTTCTCTAATCACCACCTTCAACTTAACTCTCCACATTGCCGGTTCCCCATGTTGGTGACAATTCTCCCAATCTATTACTCTATGGTAAAAATCTTCCATTATAAGCAGCTTTGCTTGAGCCCTGTTTCTGCTATGATGTCAGCCATCATTCTGTTATTCTCATATTCCAGCCTCAGTCCTATTATTAGGTGGCAGGGAGCATATCTCCGCAACTACTACCTGGAGTCTACCAGTCTTAACTGCGCACATTATGAAATCATATTCCTCTATTTATTCCTCTCACTTCTTTAAAGCTCCATTTACTTTTAATTAATACTGTCACTCTTCCTCCTCCCCTATTCATTCTATCTTTCCCTAACACTTGGTATCCTGTTGAAAATAGGCATCTGGTATCATTTGTTGACTTTTCCTCAGTGGTAACTATCTCATGTTTGGCATGACTTCAGCTATGCTTTCTTTCAATTCATCGCTCTTGTTAGAAAAACAAACTGCATTAGTGGACCATACTCTGATACTACTTTCCCTTGCCATGTAATACTCCCATGTCTACTCCCTCTTCATAATGCTCATCAGACAAGAGTAGGGAACATTTTGTTGAGGTTGGTGTAGACCTCCCTACAGAGGTAAGGGTCAGGGACGAGGTTAAGGGCATGGAAGGGGAAAGGAAAAAGTAAGGGAGTAAGAAGAAAGGTGACTGGTGAGGAGTCAGTATTAGTGATGGTGCTAGAAAGGTGGGGACTGGTACAGAGCTGTGTGTGCATGCATATGTGCTGTGTTTAAGTACAGTATATATTATTTAAGAGTGTCTATGCATTTCCAAACTAATATGAACCAAGATTTTACACATCTATTTTTAAAACAATTGTGAAGCAGTACAGAACTAACATTTTGTCTCTTCTGCAGTAGTAAGACCAGCCTCTTCACACTGAGCAGCAATATCCAGGATTCCTCGTACCTGTCAAAAAATTACCCACGAGGTAAAATCATCAAGCATCTTTACAGATTCAACACAATGAACAATACACATGATTATAAAGAAGGTAAAGGAGCCAGTATATATACGAGAGGGGGCAGGGCCGGGAGTACTATAGCAGAATGAGTGGTGGTGGTGGTAGTAGTAGTGGTAGCAGTAGTACTACTACCTCTACTACTACTACTACAATTATGCTACTACCTCCTCTCATTCTACAACTCCTGTCCCTGTCCCCTGCCCCCCCAATTATGATAATGTTTTATTTCTTTGAGCCTTACAAATACTGTAAATACATGGGTACATGTATGTGTAAAATAGTAGCGACCAAAAGCCGCTAATTATGCAATGCATAATAGGCAACTAATCATAAGGCCTACATTTACTTATTATTATTAACATTCAAGGAGACAGCACTAAATTCAAAGGTATTATAAAGAGCCTGGGGAAATGTGTTACCTTGATCCCTCTTTTTAGTTCCTCTAAAGCTGAGCATGAGAACATGCATGCCTTATAAGAATTTTTGTTATTAACCATGATGAATAAATGACAGATTTTGTTATGTTAACTGTCCAACGTACTAGAACACAGGTGCTGGTATTATGTATGATGTACTAGTATGCACCATTTTTCATACTCACAAATCTGCCTCCTGCCAATATTTTTACCTCAGGGCAACTCTTTGGGTCTTCTTTTATCTGTTCATACATTTGAGAAAAAAATCTAACACCAGAAGACTCCACACAATGTATCATGGTTAACTACTCAGGGGATGTCTATAGTATGTCTAACATACTAGTATGCCTCACTAGCAAAGCAAACAAAGAAACCAGAAGTTGCAGCACCACCAGCTTCCCTGCCAGCAAACAGGGTGTACAAGTGGCTCAAAGATGATGTATTCAGTCCAAATTTATTACACTTTCATGATATAACAATCGAATTCAGCCACAAAGCACACCAGGATAACCCAGTAGTCAATGTGAATATTTTCCATGTTCTGTAATTGTAATGTTGCAATACACAAATAACCCGCACATAAAAGAGAGAAGCTTACGACGACGTTTCGGTCCGACTTGGACCGAATGGTCCAAGTCGGACCGAAACGTCGTCGTAAGCTTCTCTCTTTTATGTGCGGGTTATTTGTGTATCGTTCCAGTCACGGTATTGTGCCTTCTTTGTTAGTAATGTTGCAAGTATTCCTTGTAGATAAACTTAAAAGACCAAAACAGTTTAATTAAGAAAAATAAATAAATATATATATACATTTATTTTATTTTTTTTTTTTTTTTTTTTTTTTTTCAACAAGTCGGCCGTCTCCCACCGAGGCAGGGTGACCCAAAAAAGAAAGAAAATCCCCAAAAAGAAAATACTTTCATCATCATTCAACACTTTCACCACACTCGCACATTATCACTGTTTTTGCAGAGGTGCTCAGAATACAACAGTTTAGAAGCATAAACATATAAAGATACACAACATATCCCTCCAAACTGCCAATATCCCAAACCCCTCCTTTAAAGTGCAGGCATTGTACTTCCCATTTCCAGGACTCAAGTCCGACTATATGAAAATAACCGGTTTCCCTGAATCCCTTCACTAAATATTACCCTGCTCACACTCCAACAGATCGTCAGGTCCCAAGTACCATTCGTCTCCATTCACTCCTATCTAACACGCTCACGCACGCTTGCTGGAAGTCCAAGCCCCTTACCCACAAAACCTCCTTTACCCCCTCTCTCCAACCCTTTCGAGGACGACCCCTACCCCGCCTTCCTTCCCCTATAGATTTATATGCTTTCCATGTCATTCTACTGTGATCCATTCTCTCTAAATGACCAAACCACCTCAACAACCCCTCTTCTGCCCTCTGACTAATACTTTTATTAACTCCACACCTTCTCCTAATTTCCACACTCCGAATTTTCTGCATAATATTTACACCACACATTGCCCTTAAACAGGACATCTCCGCTGCCTCCAACCGTCTCCTCGCTGCTGCATTTACCACCCAAGCTTCACACCCATATAAGAGTGTTGGTACTACTATACTTTCATACATTCCCTTCTTTGCCTCCATAGATAACGTTTTTTGACTCCACATATACCTCAACGCACCACTCACCTTTTTTCCCTCATCAATTCTATGATTAACCTCATCCTTCATAAATCCATCCGCCGACACGTCAACTCCCAAGTATCTGAAAACATTCACTTCTTCCATACTCCTCCTCCCCAATTTGATATCCAATTTTTCTTTATCTAAATCATTTGACACCCTCATCACCTTACTCTTTTCTATGTTCACTTTCAACTTTCTACCTTTACACACATTCCCAAACTCATCCACATAACCTTTGCAATTTTTCTTTAGAATCTCCCATAAGCACAGTATCATCAGCAAAAAGTAACTGTGTCAATTCCCATTTTGAATTTGATTCCCCATAATTTAATCCCACCCCTCTCCCAAACACCCTAGCATTTACTTCCTTTACAACCCCATCTATAAATATATAAACAACCATGGTGACATTACACATCCCTGTCTAAGACCTACTTTTACCGGGAAGTAGTTCTCCCTCTCTTCTACACACCCTAACCTGAGCCTCACTATCCTCATAAAAACTCTTTTACAGCATTTAATAACTTACCACCTATTCCATATACTTGCAACATCTGCCACATTGCTCCTCTATCCACTCTATCATATGCCTTTTCTAAATCCATAAATGCAATAAAAACTTCCCTATCTTTATCTAAATACTGTTCACATATATGCTTCAATGTAAACACCTGATCTACACATCCCCTACCCACTCTAAAACCTCCTTGCTCATCCGCAATCCTACATTCTGTCTTACCTCTAATTCTTTCAATTATAACCCTACCGTACACTTTTCCTGGTATACTCAGTAAGCTTATTCCTCTATAATTTTTACAGTCTCTTTTGTCCCCTTTCCCTTTATATAAAGGGACTATACATGCTCTCTGCCAATCCCTAGGTACCTTCCCCTCTTTCATACATTTATTAAACAAAAGTACCAACCACTCCAACACTATATCCCCCCCCCCGCTTTTAACATTTCTGTCATGATCCCATCAGTTCCAGCTGCTTTACCCCTTTCATTTTACGTAATGCCTCACGTACCTCCCCCACACTTACATTCTGCTCTTCTTCACTCCTAAAAGATGGTATACCTCCCTGACCAGTGCATGAAATTACTGCCTCTGTTTCTTCCTTAACATTTAAAAGTTCCTCAAAATATTCTCGCCATCTTCCCAATACCTCCATCTCCCCATCTACTAACTCCCCTACTCTGTTTTAACTGACAAATCCATTTTTTTCCCTAGCTTTCTTAACTTGTTTAACTCACTCCAAAATTTTTTCTTATTTTATTAAAATTTCTTGACAGTCCCTTTCTCCCACCCCTATCATCTGCTCTCCTTTTGCACTCTCTCACCACTCTCTTTACCTTTCTTTACTCTCCATATACTCTGCTCTTCTTATAACATTTCCTGCTTTGTAAAACCTCTCATAAGCTACCTTTTTCTTTTTTAATCACACCCTTTACTTCATCATTCCACCAATCACTCCTCTTTCCTCCTCCCCCCAACCCTCCTATAACCACAAACTTCTGCCCCACATTCTAATACTGCATTTTTAAAACTATTCCAACCCTCTTAAAACCCCCCCACTACTCATCTTTGCCTACCCCCCACCTTTCTGCCAATACCCGCTTATATCTCACCCGAACTTCCTCCTCCCTTAGTTTATACACTTTCACCTCCCTCTTACTTGTTGTTGCCACCTTCCTCTTTTCCCATCTACCTCTTACTCTAACTGTAGCTACAACTAAATAATGATCCGATATATCATTGCCCCTCTATAAACATGTACATCCTGGAGCCTACCCATCAACCTTTATCCACCAATACATAATCTATAAACTACTTTCATTACGTGCTACATCATACCTTGTATATTTATTTATCCTCTTTTCATAAAATATGTATTACTTATTACCAAATTTCTTTCTACACATAGCTCAATTAAAGGCTCCCCATTTACATTTACCCCTGGCACCCCAAATTTACCACTACTCTCCTCCATAACTTTTTTACCCCACTTTAGCATTAAAATCCCCAACCACCATTACTCTCACACTTGATTCAAAACTCCCCACGCATTCACTCAACATTTCCCAAAATCTCTCTCTCCCTCTACACTTCTCTCTTCTCCAGGTGCATACACGCTTATTATAACCCACTTTTCACATCCAATCTTTATTTACTCCACATAATCCTTGAATTAATACATTTATAGTCCCTCTTTTCCTGCCATAGCTTATCCTTCAACATTATTGCTACTCCTTCTTTAGCTCTAACTCTATTTGAAACCCCTGACCTAATCCCATTTATTCCTCTCCACTGAAACTCTCCCACCCCCTTCAGCTTTGTTTCACTTAAAGCCAGGACATCCAGCTTCTTCTCATTCATAACATCCACAATCATCTCTTTCTTATCATCTGCACAACATCCACGCACCATTCAAGACTTCCCACTTTGACAATTTTCTTCTTCTATTCTTTTTAGTAATCTTACAGAAAAGGGGTTACAGCCCATTGTTCCCCCCGCATTTTAGTTGACTTTTACAACACCATGGCTTACGGAGGAAAGATTCTTATTCCACTTCCCCATGGATATAAAAGGAAAATTAATAAGACCAAGAACTATTAAGATAAAATCAAAGAAAACTCAGATGAGTGTGTATAAATAAATGTGTACATGTATGTGTAGTGTGACCTAAGTGTAAGTAGAAGTAGCAAGACATGCCTGTAATCTTGCATATTTATGAGACAGACAAAAGACATCAGCAATCCTACCACATATGTAAAACAATCACAGGCTTCGTTTTACACTCACTTGGCAGGACGGTAGTACCTCCCTGGGGGTGGTTGCTGTCTACCAACCTACTACCATATATATAT